ATCTATGTGTCAGGCCGGGGACTTTTCAATTGACCCTAGTACTATTTATGATACATTCCGAATGATTCGACCTTGATATCCCCGTTATCACAAGTGTTAAAAATCAAAGCAAAATTTCAATAGACGACTCTTCAAGAACAGGCATTCCTGAAATTGAGCAAGGATGTAACAAGGTCATTAACGCAAGCATAGAAAAGCTACTCAGAACTAGGCAGAGAAGCATCAGCCATCGTCTTTTCTGTCGACTATTTCCTTCAATTTTTATGTAGTCGTACCTTTCGATTACACATAACCAGCCTTTATCTTGGTTATACATATCCTACGTATGCCTCGTTTCTCTCGGGATTAAATTTCAAAAATAAGAAGGACGTTAGTAGAATAAAGATTCGGGCTATAGGGCCGTGGCTTAAGTGAACCATTCTGTCCAGACGTTTCGTCAACTACTGCGGCTGACATCCTCAGTGGTAGTTCTGCGTCAGTCGCAGTAGCTGACGAAACGTCTGGACACAATAGTTCACTCAGACCACGGCCCCATAGCCCCTACTATGGATTCCGGCCGTGAAAGTCTCTGTTCTTATATTATAAGAAGGACATTAATAACGCAAAATTGGATTGCGTCTCTAAGGTTCGTATCGAAAACTTCTCCCACGACGAAAAGCAGATCAAAGACCAGGTAACACCCCATCTTCAAAGCCATAATCAACAGGATCTCAACGCCGAACCTAATGTTCACCAAATCTCTGGAACAAACTACAAATATTTCAAAATTGCATGAACCATTGAAAAGACTCCAAGGAAATGACCTACGCTATTTTACACGTTCTATTTTAAATACATACAACAACCGTCCGCACATCTCTAGATAATAAATGATTATTGCATATATTTTTGACGTGACAACGTCTTATAATTCGATGGAACCGGCTGCACGCACGAAAAAACATGACTCATGCGGCGTTACCTCGCTCTGAGGCGTTCCATTTAAGGCTTGAAATGCAAGCGAGAGCACGGAACGAGCGACAAAGAGGCACAATCGGCCTTCGCGTTCGGCAGCGTTCGACATCTGTCTCTCTCCTACTTGAGTGAGCGATGCGTCCGCGTGGACAGCTGCTATACAATAATACATTTCCATTTACCTCCTTCTCTATATCCATTCAAAATATATATCAAACAAATAAAATTAAAATTTTCTTTTGAAAAATGAAACCATTCCATCAGTATTTTCTTATGACGTTGTCACGTTCAACTATCGTCAGTAAACCGACTTTACAGACAACCGATTTTTTTTAACTCAAAATCAGTGACCTTACTTCGTGCAGCTACCCATTATAAACTGATGGATTTTTTTGTTACGCATACTGTAATATTACCATTTTTCCATTTTCAGATCGGATGTAAATAAGGTAACTATTCGAGCGGGAACAAGCGAACTCGGGACAGGTGGTGTGGAGATTAAGGCTTCAGCTTTATATACCCATCCTCAATTTGATCCTAATGCCATTGATTATGACATAGCTTTAATCAGACTTGCTTCACCACTTACTTTTGGCCCGAGTATATCTGCAATTTCTCTTGCGAATAGGAGAGTTCCTGACGGAACATCGGCTGTCGTTTCCGGTTGGGGATTTTTAGCAGGTGGTAATAATAATACTAACCCAAAACAATTACAAAAAGTTGCAATACCAGTTGTAAGCGACAGCGAATGTCTTGATTTTACTGAAAGAAGGATATGTGCAGGATACAGTAATGGAAACCAAGGCCCTTGTGTAGTAAGTGTTATTTATTTCGAACAAACTTTTTTATGCATTTGAACAAGTAAACTGTTTTTATGAAATATGGTATAATAAGGAGAAATCAATAAGCAATTAATACTCTTTCTTTAATACAGGGTGACTCTGGGGGTCCTTTGGCTGTAGGAAATACCCTCATCGGTATTGTTTCGACGGGCCAAGGTTGCACTGGAATATCCGTTTTCTCCAACGTTGCCAATCTTCATAGTTGGGTAACATCAGTGGCGGGAGTTTAAAATACCTGTGTACGTTTTCTAAATGGAGAATATATTTTCAACAATAATTGTTCCTGATCATGTAAATAATCAAGTTCATACCAAAAATAAAAGTAACACGCTCTGAATTTTCCGAATTTTAATGTCCGATAAAACTTCGTCATCAATAAAATGCTAAGAAACTCGTATACAAGGCATAGAAGTCCGTTAATATTGTGCGTAGAACATCATTCATCATTGAAACTGTCATGAACGAATGCCGCATCATCTTTAAGTAGGTATATCAAAGATGTCGACAGTCGCGGCTTATGTGAAAAAGATTGATACGACAAAAGGAAAGTACTGGATAGTTCTGGAAATATTTAAGAAAATTCCATGACCGAGTAAATTTGTTACTAGAATATATGAAACCCTATGACATTGTTAGTTACTAATAGTGGTCAATAGGCAATATTAATTTAATATCATTTTTCGAAATATTTTTGTTGTTGTTGTCACACCCCGCCGGGAATCGAACCCGGGACCTTTGGCTTTACGCACCAATGCTTTGACCACTAAGCTACGTGGTTGCTGTTGTCATCTCTCATACCTTGGTGGTCGGAGCATTGGTGTATAAAGCCAAAGGTCCCGGGTTCTATTCCCGGCGGGGATGTTACAACAGCAACAAAAATATTTTCCTCATTAATCTGAGGAAGTTTGTAGTGGATGAAAAATCGAAAAATGATTTCAAATTAATACTGTTACTAGAATCCGAAACAACAGTGGCGTCCCGTGGTTGATATTATTGCATTATTAGGTATATTACCTATATTTCGTCATAACCACAATCATTTTACTGAAGCATTCATAAAATAGTATCAATCACTATTAATCGATAGTCAAAGGGTTTGTATATTACGTATGTATGTAGACAGTCGAAGTAATTAGAAATAGGTCAATGTGTCAGTAACACAGGTCAGTGCAAAATAGTGCATACTATTAGCGATCAACAAAGTAGTTAATTAGTAGTTAATTAGTTACTTAATTGTTACCGCAATGGACGTCCAAATATTATTTATTATGTGTAGTAGCGTAGTAGTAACTAATTGACATTTACTTCTCACGACACAACCGTCAGTGTTTACATTTTCCGTCGATGTAGCTTCTTAGTTTTTATCGCAATTTCTCTGTACGTTGCTAATTCACGACCAGGGCTGGCTTCGGATTGCAACTTGATTGATTTTTTTGCATCTACTTAACATCCTTCAAAGGTTTCTACTTGTTTCAGAAACAATCTGTATAATTCATTAATTATACCTAAATGTACTTGTACAGATGACGTACCTAATCATTACGTTTAAAATTACGGATAGCACCTCTCTAAACGATTTGTTAAAATTATGTGGCGCGCTAATTTTTGTGTATTTACTCGAAAAGGTTAGAAAATCAAACTTAGTATTCATAAACGTTTTTTTCTGATGTGATTCAACTATAGTTATGAGTTAGGTGAATGCATCACCCAATCGAGGGAAGACATTTGTACTTGGTAACCACATAGCCTAAATTGAATCATTAACTATATATTATAGGCAGTTATGTACATGTATACAAACAGACAACTCTCTGACTTAGTTTACCATAACGGCGAATTATGTCGACTATTGAATGGGCCTACTGGCTATCAAAGGATAAGCGGATAATAAATTATGGCCAGTAGAATCTAATAAAGTCTACACAAAACAGTTTACACGCGAGTATTAAATCAATTGAAAGACGAAAAATATTTAGGGAATGACCGCACATTATTGCTTTGAAATCCTTTTATAGGCGATGTCGCTTTCATATGAGTTGGAAGTAGAATTTACAATTTCAGTTTTAATTATAAGAAAGTTCAACCTATAATGTTAGTAGTAGTCATATTGCGGAGCTCCTGGGACTGAGGATTGCCTGTCCATCCAGTTCTCCGTCGCCTTTGGAGGTCATTCTTCAACTGAAGAAGGTCATTTTCCGGGAGTGAAGAAGATCATTCTTCGGCTGTAGAGGAAGGTCATTTTTCTTCGGAGCCGAATGACACACACACACACACACACACTAGGTTTGCACTTGCGGCTACAGTCTGGTGTATGATACAGTGCGACGTACTGTCATCAAAATGGAGGTAGCCGCGTTAGCTTAGTGGTATAGATGCTCGGCCAGTACAACGATACTCGGTCTTCTAATTGTGGTCAATAAATTGCTTTTAGTATCGTAATTTTTTCTATTTATTTTTAAGTAATTTCTTTCCTGTTAGTTGTATATAGAATCATACGATTACAGTAATTACTTAGGCGCACCAAGGTAGAGGAAAATAATAAATGAATTTAAATAGTAGTGTTTAAATTGTAACCGTATTAATCTCGCAAATTACATAATTCACCCATCGACTAGGAGTTCGTGAGGACACTACAGGTGGGTAAGTTATTATGACGATATTGCGACAATAAACATAAGTTGCAGTGTTATAAGTATTTCGAATTGTATATTGTTCGTGTTTGGATTTACATTATTCTCGATATAGAGGGGCAAAAGATTAGCATGCTTAGATTTGCAGATGATATAGCAGTATTAGCATCTAGCAAGGAGGAGTTCAAGATAGATTTAAATAAAATGGAAGCGGTATTGACAAAACAGTATTGTATGAAAATAAATAAAAGTAAAACAAAAATACTGGTACGTAAGGGAAGAAAAAGCAGGAAAAGAGCGAATGTAAAATTAGGAGACGAAAGATTAGAAGTGGCTGATGTTAGGACGGAAGGAGTAGTAGGGATATAAAGCAGAGGATAGCGCAGGGTCGAGTCGCCTTCAATAAAAAGAAGTCACTTCTATGCTCGCGAACGGTTAATTTAGAAATTCGGAAAAGATTGTTAAAGGTATACGTTTGGCGCTGTACAGATACGAAACATGGACGGTGGGCGCAGCGGAAAGTAAAAGGTTAGAAGAGTCTGAAATGTGGTGTTACCGGCGAAAGATGAGGATACCATTGATAGAGAAAGTTAAAAATGAAGACGTATTAAAAAAAATTGGAGAACAGAGGACTCTATGGAAGACAACAAAAAATGGGCGAGATAGGTTCTCAAATAGTTAAGGATTTTGGATGTTCTAGTTTTAAGGAAATGCGAAGATTAGTTGAGGATAGGAAAGAGTGGAGATGCGTGTCCAACCAGTCTTAGGACTGACGACCTTATGATGATGAAGAGGTAAAGGTCTACTACTAAACTTATAACTTCATTTAAAACTAAAACTTGACAGTTGGAATTAAAACTAATTAATATTATGAACTGTACAAAGACTAAA